CTGTATCTTGTGTTATAATGCTGATCTCTTCTGCAATTGTGAAAACATCGGTGATCAGTGTCAAAATAACTATAAAATCAAAGATATAAATTTTCAGTGGCTACTCATTGCGACACCTTTACCTGTGCGAGATGTGACTCCTTCACTGAGATTCTTGAACAAGATCCCTTGTATAGTTCTTATTTCATCTTCACCAGCACATAACTGTACAAAGACATAACTCACTCAGTCTGTAATACCATATAAAATCTCTAATTTTTGACGGGGCTAAATGTAATTTAGACAAAGTTAGAACGAGGTAGGTTCACACCAATCTGCTTTTGGGTAACTTTTCACCCCACACAGCAGTTAGTCGATGTTATGTTTAAAGCTGCATTAACTTACGCTAACCAACGGCACGTACCCTCAAAAAAAAAATTGAATTGAATTTCATAAGAAATATGGGAAGCCACACTGTACTTTGATTTCTTCCCACAATAAGTCTCACTTAAAATCTCAATCTAAGTACCTTAATGGCAAAATACTTTCTTTTGAAACACGACGAGTTATCTAGACGTCCAAGTTGATGTATTCAAAAGGCCACCATGTGACTGAAGGGATGTCTACTGAGTTTGAGAAATATACCGAGATTGAAATTATTCAATGGTGGGAATAAATTACGAAATGTAAACCATTCTGCTTTGAATGCGTTCAATTGTTTATTCCCCTTTCAAGTGCTTTTTTTTCAATAAACTAACCTTAACTGCATGAAGCTTTCCCTTCACATCGATATACGGCACATCGCGATACCAAGGAGTCAAGTTTCGAGCCACATGAACTGTCACATTCGCTGGTTCAAGGACCAGTTGGGTGGGTCCTATGGTTTCCCCATCAGTCATCACAGCTCTTATTATAAAAAGGAAAAGGAAAAGGATTATTTCATCAGACACGAGTGTGGCACAAATTTTTAACCTCTTCGCCTTCACCTAGCAGCAAACTATGCATTTCTTTGTGGAGTTCTTTTTTCTGAGTATGCCTGTGTCATTCACTGCATAACATCATCTTTCACCAGGCTTAAAAATTTACCTTCCTCAGTTATATCATCGCGTAGAAGTATCTCATATCAATTGTTAAAAGTTACCAAGGATTTTCCACGAGTCTCTTACAGCGAAGCCTGAGTGGCAGAGTATCCCAAGTACTAACCGGAAGGTCTTTGGTTCAACTCATTTTGGGAGCACTCGGAATTCTTTTTCGAGATATGCCTGTGTCATTCACTGAATAACATCATCTTTCACAATCTATTTCTTGATTGCATGGATTTACCAAGGTCAACACGGAATTCCGGTAACTTGAATTTGAGTTTTACAGTTCTAAGCTCATGAATTTAATAGGAAAACTAACACCACGTTCTCAACTAGTCACGTGATTCTTTAGCTAGACAACCAATTAGTGCAAACAAAAATCTAGACACTTAAGTAAATAATTTGTTCATGCGCTTATTTTAGGCAATTCGCACCACGAAACAATAGCGAGTTTAAATAGGAACCGAAGACTTATCGTGGACACCTAATTTATGGGGTGCTTACACGCTTCTCGTGAGAACATGAACTCTATTGAATTTAAGCCTGTCTCCTAACGTTTGGAATGCCTTAAACGATATCTGAAAAAAAGCAGTTCAACGCCTGCC